GACAAAAGCAGGAGTCTACACCCAGTGACTCTTATCAGCAGGAGACTCCAACCTGGTGAGAGGAATTTGTCCACCACATGCCTAGCTATCGTATGGGTGTTGCAAAAGCTGAAACCCTACATTTGGGGAAGGAAATTCATCCTCTGCACTGACCATTCCCCTTTAGTGTGGCTACGAACTATGAACTCCAATAGCAGCAAACTTGCAAGATGGATGCTGATTCTGCAAGACTTTTTTCTTTACATCCGCGGCATAAAAGGGACCCAGAATGTGGGTGCTGTCACCTTGTCTCAAAGGCCAAATGACTAACGGGTGGATAAAAGTTTGTAATATTGAATTAACTGTTCTGTTTGTGTAATAGTTATGGAATATGCTTAAAGTGCAGAGTTTGCTTGGATGATGATGAAGTGAGAGGTGCATATAGTGATGGTAAAAATAATGGTGAGTATCCTTATTAATGTAAAAGTAATGTAATGTAATTCATATTAATGTAAGTAATGTAAGAGGTTAATGTATCTTTATTGAGTAATGTATCCTTAGTGATGTAAATAATGTAAGAGGTTAGTGCAAGCTTCCTCTCCCAAAACAAACTTATTAAGGGGAGAGGAATGTGGCATCCACCCAGGTCATGAATATTCATATGCTTTCGGCATAGACCAATGGGACTGCTACAGGGGCAGAGTCAAGAGATACAAGAGACTCAGCAGGAGGGGGAGAGTTAAGAGTTGGGGAGTCAGGGAAATTGAGAGTTGAGATTGAAAGTTTTGGAGTTTGGGCAGGAGAGTGGTGGTTGAAAGCGGATAAAGGAGAATGTTTAAGAGTTAACAACATTGCTTGTTCTGTCAACGTATGTAACAATAAACAATTTCTATTTGGTTCTTTTAAAATGACATATTGCCTGGACCTCAAGCAATGATAATAAATAATGTTGTTGTAATCAACTGGTGGCAGCTGAGGGGCACGTAGCATGAGCTTTCTTAGTTTGGTGAAATAAGCAGAGGCCACGTGGGGATCGTGACAGGCATACAGACCTCCCCTGTGTTGGCTTACAATAGAAAGATGATATTTAGAATCTTTACAGAAAAAGGAGAATACTGTAGCATGTCAACTGAAATGCAATCTGTAAATTCCACATTATCTTACATGCCTAGCCCACATTTTATACCATCTATGCCTGATGAAGAGTTCTGGAGAATTCAAAAGCTTTTCTTGTTTGTACATTTGTAGTGATCCACTAAACTTACCAAACACTTGCCAGAATTTTGTTTCTATGCATGGATTATACAATTTAAGAAGCATATACATCATTTACAAAGCAGCCTTAAATAAAAGACTGCCTGCACATCCCGAGTGTGATAAGAACACAAATCCATTGGCAAAAATCCCGTAGTAAGTCACTAGAGTAGGTCCACTGAATCAATGAAACATACAAACCACATCCCCACTGATTCATTGGGACTACTCTAGTTGTGACTTACTGCTGGATTGCAGCCAATGTAAGAGGATTTCCCTAAGGTAAGTTATAAAAGATCCTACAGAAGATCTCAAGATACGCGACTAAAAGATTTAATATATTAGAGGTCTTGGTGCATGGCAGCAGGAAGGCCACATTATGCATTAAACTTTGGAATCGCTTTTTTGAACTATGGTTCTTAATAAACATGGGGAGCAACTGTTCACATTTTAATGCATATTTATCAAACCCACACTTCCCAGATCAAAATGTGAACCAAAATGTAAGTTATATGTCAATATTCAAGCTTTTCTGAATTCTGCATTGCAGTTCTCCAATCAAAATATGTGTACAAACATGTGTCACTGTAATTTGGAAAAGAATGTGCATAAAAATGGATATAATCATAAAAATAATGAAAGTGCATGGTATTAGGAAAAGTCACTTGTAAAAACACATCTATTAGGCAAACGTGAGGGGAAAGTTATTTGTATTAGGAGAAAAGCATACGAAAAATGCATTCATTATGACTTCAAAAAACCCTGCATAGAGGTGGAAACAAGATGAAATGAATTTAAGGCAAAAAAAATCAAGAAATTGAGTAACACAAAAACTGGCATTTGTCCGTTCCTAGTTGATTCACCACACTGTACTGTACTGATTTCACAACCATTCATTAGACCCATTTATCACAGTATGACAAGTTCAGTGAGGAGAAAGGGAAATGAGAATATGCTTTGACCAAAGGGTGAGCTGTGCTGAGAAAGCAGGCTGGATAAATGGTTACAGCAAACCCACTGCAGCACCCTATAACCCCCTGAAAACAGCATTCTTCTCTATTTCCTGTGTAAAGTCTGGATTGGGAAGGAAAGAGAGAGAACTGAGAAGCTGACATCTCTACCGCATTCTAACAGCCACTATGTAAGAGCAGTCAGAGGGTCACTGCCTAACACTGGCTGCAAGACTATCCCAAATCGGAAGTACAGTGGACCTCTACTTATGGAATTAATCCGTATTGGAACGGTGGCTGCAGGTCGAAAAGTCTGTAGGTCGAGTCTCCATTGACCTACAATGCATTGAAAACCGATTAATCGCATAACCAGCCGTTTTTGTTCTATTTTTGTTCCATTTCAGTTTTTTTCTGGTCTGTAGGTCGATCCTCTGGCTGCAAGTCGAATCTAAATTTTGCGGACAGAGATGTCTGTAACTCGAAAGGTCTGTAAGTCGAGCCGTCTGTAAGTCGCGGGTCCACTGTACAAGTGATAGGGCTCATTCCAACGAAAACCAACAGTTGGGCTAAGCAGAACCCAAGAGAAAGGAGAGAACAGTTGGGGTCTGGGTTTTTAAGGCAAATACCATCCACACCTTAGCATGTCAAAAGTCAGATGCAGTAAGGATTAAACAATTTAGCTGACTCTATCAAAACTGAGAACATGCACCAGTTTATTTAACTGATGCCTTGAAGAACAAGGTGCTCATTTTTTCCCAAGAGTATCAGGGCAAATGGAAAGACAGGCTAAGATAAGCAGTGTGAAAATTTAAACGGCTTCCCATGTGGGAGAATCCTCTTGAGGGGCACGGTGTTAAATCATGAGTTGGATCTGGACACATCTTTCCACCAGTGGGATAGAAACTGACAGCAAACTGAGTATACCTACATCTTAGCTTCATTATTTCACCCTACAGAATCCTGGGATATGTAGTCTGGTGTGGACAAGACAGGAGACTTCTCTGCTAGAGAGCAGCTGCACATGCCCCTAAATTACAGCAGAGAACCACCAAACTCAGGACTCCTAAGGATGGAGCCATGGGAAGGGAATCAAATAGCTGTGATTATATAGGAGTGATATATTCTGAGTTCCCCCTCCCTCCTGCAGCCATCTTCACTCGAGTGTTCAAGTACTCTCCGATGCAGGTGTGAAGTGGCAGAAGTCTGACTTACGCAGGTGAAGGGCTGTTCTGGAAATGAGGGGGAAGGGAAACCCTTGACACCTGAGAGTAAATCTACAGTGGCGCCTTGACTTATGAACATCCCAACCTTACAAACATTTTGAGTTACGAACAGCTCCGTTCACAAAATTTTGCTTTGACTTGCGAACGAATTTTTTTTGAACTTTCAGTTAACCTTTGGCCAGCGAAGAAACTGCTTGTCCGATACCTCACTCGCCCCAGCAGTTAGCCTGCTTGTCCGATACCTCACTCGCCCCAGCGGTTAGTGAGGATACGGAGAGAGACTTCAGACTGCCTACTGCCTGGTACTGTACTGTACAGACTGTTTTATTTTGGCTTTTAAATTTTATTGTCAACTTTCTTTCCTTCAGACTGCCTACTGCCTGGTACTGTACCGTACAGACTGTTTTATGTTGGCTTTTTAATTTTATTGTTGACTTTTTTTAAAACAGAGAGACTGCCCGTTCTGGGTGAGTACACTGTATTTACTGTACCGGGCTTTTCCAGCTTGGGGTTGGGCTAGGTGACTAGGTTGTTTCTGTGCTGGCTGTTGGTTTTAAAATCAGAAAACTGTTTGCAGCAAAGGTCTGTCTGGCTGTTGGCCTCTAAAATGCATTTTAGTCTTTTGGTTGCTTGGTTTAAAATGTGTTGTTGTAAAATGTGTGGCTTCAGCATGTGTGGGTTAAAATGTGTTGTTGTAAAATGTGTGGCTTTAGCATGTGTGGGTTAAAATGTGTTTTAGACTCTAAACTCTCTCCCCCTATTGTCTTCTCTGTCTTCTCTCTTTTTGTGCTTAAAAGCACAAACCTTTGTCTCAGGGATCTGTGTGACCCGATTTCTCTGTCTTCTCTTTTTGTGCTTAAAAGAACAAAACTTAGTCTCAGGGATCTGTGTGCCCCGGTGATTACCTTTCTTTCCTTCTTTCCTTCCTTCTTTCCTTCCTTCCTCTGTTCCCCCTTGTTTCCTCCCTCCTTTCCTGCCCTTTTTAAACCCCTGTTCCCCCTTGTTTAAAAGAAGAAAAATTCTCCCCCTAGTGGTAGAGGATGGATTAACCGGTTTTGTATTAGTTCCTATGGGAACTAATACTTCGACTTACAAACCGTGCCTTGACATAAGAACAAAAAACAGCCGGAACGGATTAATCAGGTTTCACTGCATTCCTATGGGAAATGCTGATATGACTTACAAACGTTTTGACTTACGAACATCTTCTGGGACGGATTAAGTTCGTAAGTCAAGGCACCACTGTACTCACATAACACAGCATTTAGCTCAAGGGCTACTACTTCACCGGTCATTAAAAGAGTAATTCTGGATGGTCAGAGCAAAGGTTGCATTGAATATCAAAATTTAAACAACCCTTGTAACAGGCAGCCCTGACCTCACCTGTCCGTCACAGCTGGGTAGTGGATCATCAGCCAATGAGGGGACGGAGGGTGGTGCTGAAGGGGAAGGAGCTGAATTATGTAAGGGTGTGTGAACAGATAAGGACTAGATAAGGAACAAGAGAGAGCTTGTTTGAAGGCCTGTGAGCCAAAGTAGTCAGTGAGGGAAAGTCTGTGTTTGATTAAATAAGAAACAGTGATTTACATCGTGATTATCTTCCAGTGATTTACATATTTTATTTTGTGAACCAATAAACCAGTTTTGTTTTTAAAAGAAACCTTTGTCCTCCTTAAGCAGTAATTATATTTGGTGGCAGCAGTATGAAGAGTAGTGGGTACTCTGGAAGGCCTGAGTTGGCTGAGATTTCAGAGTAGCCTGCTACAACCCTCCTCAAAGAAGAATAAAGTTTATATTTCAGACCGCTTTTGAACAACTTATGTGACATCTCTGAAACTAGATACCAGCTTCTGAATAGTAGTGGAACAGGCTCATACCAGATTTTGCTCCTCCATCCCAACATCTTGCATCTTATAACAAGCACCTGTTTAGCCTTCAATCTCCATGGTCAAACATTTGTCTTCCTCTCTTCCCTGCTCTTCCATTTTCTATACCGTACTAGAATGTGGAAACCACCCACCACCACGACCCCACTTTTGGTCCTCTGAACAGAGAAAAATACAAAGCTCGAGGCTAACAGTGGTTTGATATCACCATACAAGAAGAGAGGAGTTGCCCATTCCAAAGCATTTTCCACTTCTCTGTCACACTTACACCCAGCGTAGAAAATGATGGATTTCAAAAAAGTCTCGTTTGCCATTATAGGTTGTTGGGCAGAAGGGCAGGCAGGACAAATAGCCTCTTTTGCAACCTTCTTGTAAGAGACCACAAGTTTTTTCTCAAATATCTCCTTCTCCTTTCTACTCTGCTGCCTTCACAACAAAAAAGGAATTAGGGTTCTTTGAAGAGGAGCTGGCAGAGTGTCCACTCTAGCATTCTTGTTGATCAGGAGGCATTTCAAAGGTGTGGCAAAAGAGTTTCTGTGTTTCCACTAAAGTCATTATTACCCTAATAGACCACAGCCAATAATCTGCCTAAAGTAGTTGCACCTATATGCACATACCTGTCTAATAACCGGGTCAGGCCTGCTATGATGTAAATCCAGGACCACCGATCAGTTGGGTTTTGGGAGCTGAGACCAAGGAATTGGCTAGGAAATGAACAAGGGCTTTTAAAATTTTATTTTCCTATCCACATGCATTCCAGTCCTCTTTTAAAGTCAGCAGGCAAATGTTAGAAAAGAATTACGCTATAGTCTGACACACTAGTCAAGCTGACTCCAGACAAATCAACCAGAATGTCAAGCATGACCTCATGGAGGAGGTAGCCTTCCTTTTTAAAATTTCATCATAGTGTCTTGACAACAAGGGCAAGTGCTATTATTTGAACAGGTTGTGTTGTTGTTGTTTTTTGAGAGATCCAATGCCCGAGGCCACAATGTTCTATATACTCTAAGCCCAACTTTGATGCTCTGCACTTGTGAATAACATTTTATGGGTGGGTGACGTCTGACTGATCTCTTATTGCTTGACTTATAGAAAAAGCAAGAGAAGATGTGCTTCCTTGTCATTTCAGAGTTTTTGAAGCAATTCATTTATCCCTGCCATTGGAAGGGAACACGGAAGACCATGGCCCTAACCACATTTCTTCAGAACTTAGGCAAAGGCCATTCCCAACCTGGACAAAATGGCAGAGCCCAGCCTAAGGTACAGCTCACTTTCTCAGTCTCTGTCCTGCTAATAATCCACCCTCAAATCAAAATATTATAAGATCTCATCAGCTTTGTACCTTGACAAAGCATCAGACCTGTGGAATAATTAAAAACCTCTCATATAAAATTCCTGAAAATTAGCCCATGGGGAGATAAGGTGGCAAAATTAGCCAGCAAGGGAACAAGATGCCCAAGCTTTTCCCTCAGAAAAAAGGTTAGATGCCCCCTGAGATGTGGCGACGCGAAGCCCGCCCGCCTGCCACTGTCCTGCTGGTGTCCTCGCCTGCATCCACTCGGGCCTCTTTCTTCACAGAGCCAGTCTCTGCCCAAATTTACCACCGTTAACGGTCAGGACGCTGCACACAGAACACCTTGGCCTGGTGATCACCAGAAGTAGTAACCACAATGGAAGCATCCCTGCAAGAAAACGAAAGGGAAAAAAAAAGACCAGGGAAGTAAGTTTCACTTATCTATTTGTTAAGTTTTCTTCTATTCATGAACCTAGAAGACAGCTGAGAGAAAAACAGATAAATGTAATAAAAACACAATAAAAATAAAATGGAGACAAAACATTAAAACATCCTTATTTAAAGGCAGATACAGAGCAGCAAAATGTAGAAAAACATTTAAGAACAGCAATGAAAACCCACTAAAGTTCACTATAACCAGCCAAAAGCCATGGCAGTAATTCTGGTGGCAACAACAATGGCTGCTGTTATTGTTATCACTTAGTGTCACCACAGCTTTATAGGTCACTTTGTTTAACCTGAAACATGTTCTTATAATTTCCCTAGGGCCCACTCCCAACGAGGTTTAACACGGAGTCACAATTTCTGTCTCATTCACCTAGTCTGTGGGGGAGAAGTAAAATACTCTCATTTTACTGATAAAAGCAAAGGGCCAGAAAGGAAAGCACAACCCAAGCACAGTAGTTTCTATGGACAGAAAAGAGCAGATACGGATTAAATAGTTTTCAATGCATTCCTATGGGAAATGCAGATTCAACATAAGAACTTTTCAACTTGAGAACCACCTTCCAATACGGATTAAGTTCTTAAGTAGAGACCCCACTGTACAGTTGTGCCCCGCTGGAGGATTACCCTGTTTAACGACGAATCCGCTTAACGTTGAAGTTTTTGTGATCGCAAAATGATGTTTAGATTGGATTTTTTCGCTTCATGTTGATCGGTTCCCTGTTTCGGGAACCGATTTTTCGCTTTTCAACGATCAGCAAACAGCTGGTTGTCGGGTTTCAAAATGGCCACCAGCTTTCAAAATGCCCCCCTCCCGCTGTTTTCTAGGACGGATTCCTCACTATACAGGCACCGAAAACGGCCACCGTGTGGAGGATCTTCGCTGGATGAGCAGGTATTCAGCCCATTGGAATGCATTGAACCGGTTTTCAATGCATTTCAATTGTTTTTTTTTTTAAATTTCGCTTGACAATGTTTTCGCTCTACAGCGATTTTGCTGCAACGAATTAACATTGTCAAGCGAGGCACCATTGTATCTAAAGCTATATAAGGATGGCTTCATACCCATCTCTGTCAAATCACACATTACCATTTTTTTGGACCTGTGCTGGCCTTTTCACAAAAAATTAGCGAAAGTTCAGATCAAAGCCAAATCAGGTTTGCACACGTCTTAGGGGGTCCTCTAACGAACCCAAGCATTTAGAACAGTTGCGGAGTCTTCGTTAATTTTTTGTGAATTTTTTCTTCTCCCATAGGAACCAATGGAGCTGTCAGATTTTGACAGCTGTCAAAAGTTGGGGAAAAAAATTCACCATAAATTAACGAAAAGTCAGATCAAAGCCAAAT